TCTATGCATTATAGTTTAATTTGAGAAAGTGGTGACTACTTTTTTTATTGTTGAAAATGTAGATGAGAGTTTGACTCTGTTAAAGAGACGATATAAGAGTTTATGAAAGATTCATAAGAGTAAAACTACAAAACATATAGTTGTCACCAGATGATGAACCTCTTTGTCACTCCATCTATGCGTACAACCAGGGACGAATCCATGGCTATGATAGTAGGGTCAGTTGCTCCCACTAAAATTTTACTCTTTTTTATTTATATATATTATTTACTTTTTATAATATATATAAATCTCTCTCTCTCTCTCTCTCTATATATATATATATATATATATATATATATATATATATATATATGGCTTAAATATGTTCAAACTATCTATAATTAGGCCAGTTTTTAGATTGCTACTTATTAAATTTATTTTTTGTTTTAAATACTTAACTAATTCTTTTTTCAATTTAGTACCTGACATTAGTTCTTCTCTGTTAAGTGATGACATGACTGACAGACTACCACGTCATCATCAAACAGTGTCTGCCACGTTGACAAAGAGAGAAACTTCATTGTTCGGAATCAGGAGGAGCTGCAAGGGTTTGGGTGGCACATTGTTTAGGAAAGTTTCCCTTTTTTTGGTAAACTCACGGAGCTTAGGTTTTTGTCCCTTACCTTCAACGGCCTTGAGGGCGAGGTTCTAGAGGAAATTTGGGCCATGAAGAAGCTAGAGGTGCTTGATCTCGAGGGGAATTTGATAAGTGGGGTTCTCCCTGTGAAGTTGAAAAACATGAGGGTTCTTAACCTAGGGTTTAATAGGGTTGTTGGCAAGATTTCGAGTTCATGGTCTAGTGTTAAGGGTTTGGAGGTTTTGAATTTGGTTGGGAATGGGATTAACATGTTTGTTCTGGGTTTTGTGGGGAGGTTGAGAGCAGTGTATTTATCTTTTAACTTACTGGGTAGGGTTATTCCTTCGGAGATTGGAGAACATTGTGGTGGGAGGTTGGAGCATCTTGATTTCTCTGGCAATGTCCTTGTTGGGGGATTCCGGGGAGTTTGGGGAATTGAAGTGAGTTGATGATGGCTTTGTTGTATTCTAATGTGTTGGAGGATGTTATTCCGAGTGAGCTTGGGAGGCTTAGGAAGCTTGAGGTTTTGGATGTGTCAAGGAACATGTTAGGCGGGCCAATGCCGAGGGAACTTAGAAAATGTTACGAGTTGTCTGTGTTGGTTTTGTCTAATCTTTTTAATCCGATTCCGGATGTGAATGGTACTGCTAGGGACTTAGGGGTGGAGTAGATGGTTTCAATGAATATTGATGAGTTTAGTAGTTGTAAGAGACTCCATTTTCTTGATTTGAGCTCAAATAACCTTACTAGTGAGCTGACTAAAGAATTTCATGTGTCTTGTATGACGTGGCAGACACACTGTTGGATGATAATGTAGACATTAAGATGATGTGGCAAACACTGTTGGATGATGACATGACAATCCGTCAGCCATGTCATTACTTAACAGAGGAGGACCAGTATCAGGTACTAAATTGAAAAAAAAAAATTAGTCAAGTATTTAAAACAAAAAAAAATTAATAGGTAATAATTTGAAAACTGATCTAATTAGAGGTAGTTTGAATATATTTAAGCTTATATATATATTTTTTTAATTTATTATAAAAAAATTATTAAGTAATGACACACATCTTATAGAGATATGATACTTATTATTAAAAACTATTTTTATATATACTATAAATACAATATATATTGATATTTTGTTAAAAAAAATATAAATATAGATTATAGTAACACTTTTTATATGTGACTCTATGTAACATTTTTTTGCAATGATTATTTTTTATATCTAATATGTTAAAATATATTAATATTTCATTTATATTTTATTCTATCATGTAATTTCTTTCACTTTATGACAAAATTGTCTTATTTTTTTATTATTATAATATACATTATTTTTTGACTGAAATATTTATTACTTCTTTATTCATTAAAGATGTCATAATTTAGTTTACAAATATAGATTATTTTCAATTTTTATTTTAGTTTTTAACCCTTTTGATCTTATATATGTACATTATAGGTTGGTAGGAGAGAATCCAAATTAAGAAGAATGAGAGTAATTGTCACACAAAATTTTTATTTATTTTTACTTAAAAATATTTAATAAAAAATAAATTTACTCTTATAAAAATAATAGACATTGTTCTCATAAAATATTTTTGTTTTAAATGAATGTAGAAATTTAGAAGAGATATAAAAGAAAATAAACGGTAATTATATTATCATTATCTTAATAATTTATACCATTTTATTCCTCTAAAATTAAATAAGTCATTAAAAATTACAATATCACACTTAAATATAATATCGTACAGAAAAAAGGAGAAATTATCACTCTATTTATGAAAAAAATTAATTTATAAAAAAAATAGGTATATTAAATTTTTTATCACAAAAATATATTTTTTAAATTATTATATTTATAATAAAAAAATGTTGTAAAATAATTTATTATCCCACTTAGTTTTACAACATATTTAAAACTATTGCTTTTTGTGGGATTTGGTTAGGGTGTGAGCAGAACCATCCATTAAGAATAAAAAAAATCATGTTAAGGATGGGACAAGGTGAATTTTGTTGATCAACTATAAACTATATTTGTGAGACACAAAAGAAAATCGTTGCAGCCCACTCATTTGTCAAAAGTAAAAAAAAATTGACCTTAAAAAACATGTATCTCGAGAATTTATAAAGCTTTAGACCCTTCATTCCCTAACACACACCACTCAAAATGGTTGATTATTGTTGACTTCAAAATTTACAATATCAAATGCTATAGGACCTTAAAGCATCATTTATTTTACTTGAGTTGTATTATCTAATAATTTGGGTCTTCAATTGATATTATGTTTCATTTGGTTTAATTGCAATGATAATATTTTTGTTACAATTAATGGGTCGATACTGTGTTGAGCTTTAAGTAATACAGGCTTGTTTTATTTATTGAAGGAAAATAATATTGAAGTCTCTATCAAAAATAAAAGTTATGGACCAAGAACTCAATGAAATCCACCACTTTGAGCTTCTACGAAATGAGAGCTTAAGTTTTGAAGTACTTTACATTTCTAAAGTGAATTTATCTTTCTTGAAAAATTACATTTTTTTTATTTAAATGATTTCTTTTCAATACACGAATTTATATTTCTCCTAAATTCATAAACTTGTACATTCAAAGATTGTATTTTCTAAAATTCATAAACTTACGCCAAGTATTCTCTAAGGTTGCATTTGGAAAAAAAAAACTCAAAATTTTAGAAAATTTGAAATTTGAATTACTTTAATTTAATTTTTTTTTATCATTTTATTGAGATAAATCAATTGAAATTTTTAATTTTAAATTATTAATTTGGATGTGCACTTTAATTTCTATCGCATGTAAAAGTTACACACACATTTCACCTTATTAGGAAGCATCCCCAATGTCTTATACTTCTATATATGAATAGGGCTCAATTTTCTTATATTGTGTTTTTCTTTGAATTTCTTTAGACATCTCTATGGTCTAAACACTACATAATTGTTTCAAGTAACCTCCAATGTCTTATATGGTTCAATGAAATATCTTTTGAAGCATCTCCAATGTCTTATACTCCAAATGAGTAGGGTTCAATTTTTATATACTATGTTTTTCTTTTAATTTCTTTTTAAAAGTAGTATATAACATCTATGTGGTCTGTAGAGTTGCTCAAGCAACCTCCAATGTCTTGATCTCCAATATATATTATATTAAATATGAAAGATTATCTTGCATGAGAATGTTTTGAGAAAATTTGCTTTAATAAGAGTATTTTTAGAGATTTATCTTTAATAAAAATACTTTTAGAAACTTCTCTTTAATGAGAGGAATTTATTTTAAATGAAGATATTTAAAAATTCATTTAACAACTTATCTAATTTAAATTTTATTTAGATTAGATTACACTTTTAATTTCTACATTTTTATTAATCCATAATTTTGGTTCCTTTATTTTAAAATAGAAATACTTAGTTTTTTTACTTTTAAAAATATAAATTTTTTATCTTTTCATCTTTTCATCAAATTAACATCTACTAATTCGTTAAATTTTAACATTTATTCATACTTAAATAATATAATATTTAATAAAATAAAATTTGAAAATAAAAAAACTAAAAAATAATATACAAATCAAATTTTTATTAATAAAAATATCAATCACTCATAAAAATAAATACATAATAAAAATTTTTGTATGATATTTTTAATTTTTATTTACATACATCAAGTCACTAAATGTCACTAATGATTAACAAACATAAAATTGATAGAATAAGCAAAATTTTGTATTTTAAAAAATAAAATATAAATATTTTTATTTTAAAATAGAGAAATTAAAATTATAAATTGACAAAAATAAAGAATCAAAAATAAAATTTAATCTTATATTTATAAATTTAATTTAATTTTAAAATTAAATAATGATCTTGTACTATAATATACGTTATTTATTATATTTTTGTTACATTTAAATCATTTATACCAATAATAATAATAAAAAAATTCTATTTAGTGTAAAAAAATTGTTATAAATATAAAATAGCAAAACAGAATTCCTCCGATACAGAGGATTTATCAAGATTGTCTTGAATACTTAGAGAACAAGTAAAAACATATCTATAGTCTATACAAAGAAAAACAATTAAAAGCAATCAGGATTATTTTATAAAAAAAATCATAAATTAATTTAACATGAAAAATCAAATCATATTAAAAAAATGTGAACCAAATCAAACTATTTCTTTGAGCACAATGTTAAATAGTAAAAAAATTCAAAATTATAATTTATATTTGAATTCATGGTTGATTTTGCTGAGGAATATTTATTGAAATCCCTGATAAAATACTGAGGTGAGAGCATATTGAGAACTTGTATGTTGGAAAATGAAGTGCAAGAGTGAAGATTATATAGTAAACTGATTAACTGTTTTCAAGATCCATAAAAGGATAACAGACAAAAACTACTTTCAAACCAAGTACCGGTTTCCCTTTGGAGCTCTTGCGCCTGAAACACTAATTACTAATTTTGGATTTCAACCCAAACAAATATTTACAACATGCTTCCGCAGATTAGAAAAATAAATTGAACTTAATATTGAAAATTTGAGGATATTCCATTCACTTTTAAATCCTAACCCTTCTCTCTCTCTCTTTTATCATTTTTGCACAGGCATCATGAACCAAAGAAATTTCAAATTTGTCATGAAATTTCGATTTCCAGCGTTCCATTCCATGCTACTCTTTCTCTCACTGTACACTAATCAATATTATTCCCTAGAAATTAAAAAAAAAAAAAAAAGAAGGAAAACATGTTCCTTTCATTTTCATGTTTCTTTTGTTTTGTTCCTTGATCATAATTAGGAATCAACTCTGCTAATTCCAATTCGCTTCACCGACACATTCCTAAACCCATCCACTCCTTCAAAACACATCCCATTCTGATTCTGCTGCTCCATGTAACTCCTCACTTCCGTCCGTATCATCTCATGCATCACCGCCATAAACTCCGCGCTCAGATTCATCGCTCCTAATCCAACCTCCACCGCCGAGGAGGAAACCGGCATCGCCGCCACAGGAATCACCGGCGCCGCCACCGCCACCGCGCGATTCGACACTTCCGATGACTCCACGCCGGGAAGAGAGAGCGAGAGCGAAGTGGTGGGCCCGTCGTCGCTGGAGGAGGCTGTTTCCACGGTAGGGCGAAGCGGCACGGGCCGAAACACGTGCGAAGGAGAGAGCACGCCGGGAGCGCTGGACTCGCTCACATCAGATCCGGAGGGGCTCCCCGGAGAAAGCGGGAGCGCGGCGCCGGCGCTGACGGAGCGCTTGAAGGGGCGATCGTCGGCGATCATGATGGAGGCGCACTTGCGCTTTAGGGTTGAGTTCCAGTGGTTCTTGATAGCGTTATCGGTGCGGCCCGAGAGGAGGCGGGCTATGGTGGCCCACTTGTTTCCGAAGCGGGCATGGGCCCGGATAATGGTTTCGTCCTCTTCGGGCGTGAAGGCCCGGTGCTCCACCTGAGGGGACAGCTGGTTGCACCATCGGAGCCTGCAGGACTTCCCCGAGCGGCCCGGGATTGACCTGCTGATAAGCGACCAGTTTCTGGGCCCGTGCCTCTCTACCAGCTTCTGCAGGGCCTCGTCCTCTTCCGGGCTCCATGGGCCCTTGATCCGGTCCATGTCCTTTCTGTTCACCGCCATCATGCTCTTTTGCGGTGCTTTTTATCGTTGGTGGAGGAAATGAGGGAGGTTTTGCGGTTTAGTTGTTGTGGTGGAGCATTGGATCACTTCCACCCTGCTTGCGCTTTCTTATATCCCTCAGGGCTGGGGGGTCAGGCTACCGGTTTTGGAGGTTCCACTTTTATGGGATTCTGCGTCGCTTCTACTGCTTATGCTACCGGTCCTATCTGGCAACCGGTTGCCTTTCGAGTTGGGATACAGCTGTATTTGGACACGCGTCACTTCTTAGGTTGTTCCCTTTACACAACTCTTCTCTACTTCTCCCCTCATTTATCCTATCAAATTCTCCTTTTATTTTAACTCAAATATTCATATTAATATATGTTCCACTCCTATTCATCAATGTTATCGGTGAAATATAAAATTAAATATCTTCAAATATCATTTTCAATTTTACTTATAATTCAAATAAAAAATTATTTATTATTTATTAACTCAAAAGACACTTCATGTTTTCAGAAAAAAAGTAAATTAATATTTTTTTATAACAAATGGATAGTCATTATCGGAATTATTATTTTTTATATATTTTTGTTTTATTCATAAATATAAATTAATAAAAAATATATAATACAAATGTATGATTATCTTTATAAAAAAATGGACACTAAAAAAAGATAGTATAAGAATTTTTTTTAAGAAGATAAATATAGTAACAGTCAATACGTTAAAAAAACTGAAATTATTTTCAGTTTATGTTCATTTTTATTTTTTTTAGAAATTTTTAAAAAAACTACTCTATCTTGATGTCGCTTCATGCAAAACGGCGCGTTGCGGCATACGCAACGCTCCACTCAATTATAGCCTCCAATTTTGAAATTCACTTTTGAGTTTTGACTACATTTTTTTTTCCTATACGTGTTTTGTTTATTCGTAACATTTAGATTTAGATGGTTATTCAAGTATTTTTTTTTTGTATTTTCGTTATAATAATTGTAACAATAAAATTCCAATTCTATAATAAAATAATATGAAAATACTTCATAAATTGCATCAAATCTATTTTCATCCTTTTCTAATTTATTTAAAATGGACATAATTTAAATGCACTTTTTCAAATGTTTTCGATATTAAAGTTTTATTTAGTAAAGTTGATTATAATTAATGCTATTCTTTATGACCCACATGATCAATCATAGAATCAAAATTTTAATTTCAATTATATTTTTGTTATTTATTTGAGAATTGGTTGTGATTTTGAAACTTTAGAAACGTGCAGTTGAGGCGTTTGGGAGAGATGTGGACATGAATAGAACAGTTGTGGAAGTTAATTAATGTGGACAAAGAAAACGTTGAGAACCAGAAATGTGAGGTTAAAATATTAAAAGGGAAAAAGATAGAAAAAAAAAACGGAAAGTGGGGAAAGAAAAAAAAAAAAGAAATTAAAGAGATAACGATGATAACGGTTGGGTGATACTGATGATGGCTGAGGTTCCTTGCTTGGTTGAGTTTGACTGAGGACTATTCCAGGCTGTAGAGCATTTGGTGTGGGATATTTATTTTTTGAAGTTTGGTCCTTTTCGTAGGGAAAAAAAATAGGAGGAAAGGGCCCACATGATGCTGAGGTGGCACAAAACGACAAGACGGATCGCCGAATCGGAGCGCGAATCATTACTGCTTTCCTGTCAGTCCAGCCTGTATTCTTTACCTGCCTCCATCGTCTTCCTCCACACACACCTGTCGGTCACTTCCTCTCATCTTCCTAATCCTGTTTATGCCAATTATTTATGTGTCTTGCATAATTAATTCATAAGTAGAAAGTGGGGATTAGGGATGTATAATTAAAGCAAGGTATAGGAAAAGGGCGAGAGAAAAAGTTGTCGGGTAGGATGGGGGTATGCTACTCACTATTCAAATGCCAAAGATATCATCCAACAGATCCGTATCCAACCCCTTTCTGTTACTTGTACCTCCTACCCACTGCCTCTGTCTCCATGCATATATATTCACTATACCCTAACTTCTTTTTAATTCTCCTATCCATACCACCATACATCTTATTATAATCTCATTCTAAATCACCATACCATCTAGACATATATTCTCACATAACTACCATAAATTAATTCTTCTAAATTGGGAACTTAATTAACATGTCCAAGCTTGTGTCAATATGCAATGTATGCATTAATAATCATCCGATTATTTATAAACATGATTAGCAACATGTCTGCCATTTCACAAACTATGATAATTAGAAGGGGATTGCTACCGTAACCCTGATAAATGAGGGGTTTTGGTACTGTATCTGATGTGTATGTACACATAATTTAAATGTCATGTCAGCTTTTTAAATAAAAATTATTTTGTATTTAAATTTTTACGTTATTTATTTTTTAAGTTTTTATCCACCTTTGCAAACTTGTTCCTACTGAGGTCAAGTGTTTCAACCGCGGGAAGAAGCTGCAGAGACTCGTCCATGAGAACCAAGCCATTACACGTACATGACACAAAAGACAAGCGGTTCCACTGCGGAGACTTCTTCACCTCCGTTATCCTGCTAGCAAACACGTGCCGCAGAGCATCCTAATAACAAAACTCAACACCCAGCAAAATTGTGAAGAAAGAAAGCAAATAGAAAACGAATACGACTCACGGTAGAGTTGTGACAAACGATCTTCTCGAGTGTGTGGCGGAGCTCGAGCAAGCCTTTGGCGGCGGAAGTTGACAAGTCGCAACCTCTGAGTTCGAGAACCTTCAAGCACCCTAACGGAAGAAACGACAAGGGCGTTGGATCCCTGATTGGATGAGGCAGCACCGAAACGACCTTCAGCGAGGTGAGGAGGCGCAGGATCCGACGGAGCTGCTCCAGAGCGCGGTGGTCACCGAGGTCCGACACGTACGCTCGGAGGTAGTCCACCGGAGCGCCGGAAAGGAGGCTTTCCAACTCGTGCAGCGCCTCCAGCCTCGTTTGCACGTAGTGAAGACCCGCTGGATTCAGCTTCAACACCAAGGCTCCTTCGATCAGAGGTCCCGCCTGGTCCTCCACGAAGTGCACCAACTTCTCGAGGTACCGATCTCCCCGGTCACAATCGCCATTCTCTGCCGATGAGGTTTCCGCGCACACGTTGGGGATTAGGGTTTTTGCAGCGAGGGAAGAAATAGGAAGGCAGAAAGATTCGGAAAAAAAAAATTAAAAAACGTAAACATCATACGGATGTGAATTTTAAATAATTAAAAAATTATAAATAACTTGAATTTACACGTAAGTGACACATCATCAACAGTACCGGTACCCTTCTTTTATAAAGGGTACCGTAGAAATTCTCTAATTAGAATATGACAATTGTGTTCTTACTTGAAGAAGCTCAAGCGGATTTTATTCATAATATTGTATGTTTAGTCTTGTACAATGTACATGATGCATAATTGAAAAGGAAAAGAAATATATATTATGTGTAGAGACTAGAGAGAGGGGAGGGTAGTGGACAGCAAAATGAGAGTGTTGTGTATGATTAGAGTGAACAATGCATGATTTTGAAATGGCAATTTTGCAGCTGTATTGAGTGAAGGAAAACCGTGAGAATGGATGGTAATGCTTTACGAGAGGGGCTTTGAAAAAGAAATTTTTCACTGGCGTAGCATTTCCCAAAACGAGGAAAGGGATACGGAGAATTGTACATTTGCACTATCGAAACTGTTGGCCCAAGACAGCTGTAATGTAATTATTAAGAGGACAGTGTGATTCACGCCTTTTTCAAAAAAAAAAAAAAAAAAAAACACACATACAAAGTTATTAACAGATGCTTAACTGCTTTGGAGATCAATTCGTATCTGATGGAGAATGGAGGTGCCATAAAAAATCAGTCTAGTCCTGAACTTTTGTCTGCATAGTTTAAAATATTAGTAAAATAAAAATTCCATTAAAAATTGGATAAATTGCTTGAAACCTTATCAAAACTAGATTGTATTCAATGTAAGAAATCATTTTAAACCAATATTTTTTTTATTAAAATTACTTCTTAATTTTTTTAAACTTTTATTTTCAATATATTTTTAAATAAGTAAAGAATTAGATTATTAATTGGTTGTTGTTTGAATATACATTTTTACATTAATTTGAAATTTTACATAATGTAATTTTTTTTAACTTTATATTAGTCTAGCACTTTATTCATTATATAATTTAAAATTATTTTTTATTATCAATTTCTACACAAATTCAATTAGGATTAAATTAAATATAATAAAATCAGCACCCTATTTAAATTTAAAGACATTGGGCTATTGTTTTAATTTAATAAAATAATAAAACTTAAAATTTTAACATTATATCATTTTTTTTTAGAAGAATCTTATATCATTTAAAATACCATTTCCAATACTTTTATCCACCGTGTTGGTCATTTAAAAGGAAATTAACAACACTTTTAAGTTTTAAACTTTCTTTAGATATTTAATGTGTTTGTTTTCAATTTAATATATAACTTATATTCTAATTTTTAATTGGTGCTTTATTTTGTGCATATTTTAAATTACAAAGATTACGTCAATAATAAAATCTACAGTATTCATACCAGCAGCGCTCCCAGTCACGTAGAGGATGAGTTGATCACGTGACAAGCGTCGGCAAAATAGACACACGTGGCATTTGCTCCCCATGAAGCGGCAACAAAAATTTGGGTCCACTACAAAATTACCATAGTGTCCATGGTGGCGGTGCATTTTTATTAAATGAGTTGAGTCTAAAACCGTTGAATCTGAAGATGAGTTGTCGATTCATGGTTGTCTTGGTTTTAGTGGAAAACAAAACGGTCTAATACCGGACGATGATGAGGTACGGAAGGTGAATAATTTCATTTCATGGCTCCCTTTCTCACACATCACGTGATGCATTGTCCATGTGTCCTTGTCCTTTTTTACATTTTTATTAAATTTTTTTATTCACTAAAATAATTCAAATTTGATTTTTATTTTTTATTTTTATTTAAATTTTACATCTCAAAATATAAAACATGTTTTTTTTTTATCCAAGTATTTAATTGTTAACTCAGTGTCAATATTAAAAGGAGGTTATATATTAGCGCTGCCTGCATTGGACTTTTTTTTTTGGTAATGTGATTGTCATGTGGTAAGTGATGAGTAAGAAAATTTATTTAATGAAATAATAAAATATTTTATAATACTTTTAAAGGTATTATAATGGAAAAAAGTATAATAATTTTTATAAAATACATATTTTTATGGTAAAAAAAGTTAAAAATAACTATTTGTATGATTTTTCTTATTTCCTCTTTTTAGTTGAGATTATATTCAAGTGTAATTTGTTTAATATTAAAGAAATAAAATGATAAAAAATTAAAAGTATAAAAAAATAAAAAAAATAAAATTTTTTATTTTCTTTACTTCTTATACATTTCTATATTCATTAAGAAAAATATTTGTTCAAACATATTTTTAATTAAAGTAAAATTAGAAAATTAATTTTTGTTTATGTACTTTTTTTCATCTCCAAAAATTTGGATATATTGTTTTTAATTCCTAGTATTATGTAATGATTTTAATTACTTGTATATTTATTAAAAGTTTAAATGAACATCTCATATGTTATTTATAACAGTGTGTAACAATTCTAGAAAAAAATTGTAGGTCTTTAAAATAAATATTATTTATTTATCTTAAAATAATTATGATAAATAAAAAATAGTAACTTTAGATTTTAGAGAATTGAAAATAAAAAAAAATATTTGTAAGACTTGATAGGATAATCTATTTATTTATATAACATAATAAAAAATATTATTATATATATTATTAAAAGTATAGTTAAATAAATATATTTATAAAATAAAAATAAATTATCAATATTTATAATATTTTTTTATATAATTATTTTTTTTATTATAACTTGATATGTTTACAACCTGTGCATGAATATACATCAGCACATATATCTACACATGAATTATTCATTCAATAAAGTGATTCAATTTTTTTTCAATATTTTATTTAAAATTTAAATTTTAATAATATTGAGTAAACTATATTTTAAAAATGATTTTGTTGATTTTTAAAAATTAAGTTTATTGATCTAATTAACATTAATAATTTACATAAACTTTTAAATAGACTAATAGACTCGATCAGACTTTTAAAAGGTCAGACCATGCCTCTAAAAAAATTTATGATAGATAATAGGTCAGACTTAAACTTTAATTTTATAAAACAGACCCAACCTATATATTCAAAGTTTCACCTATTTTCATCCCTAATCTAAGCCAAAATTTACTCATTTTAAAATGATAAATTTTTACAAATTTTAAAAGATAAAAAATAAATAAATAATGTATAAAGATCAAAATCGATACTCATTCATTTTACAAGATTTTAAAACATAATTAAGCTAAAAATATCTTATAGGAACAATTCCTATTTTCTCATAAGAACAAAGTTCTCTTTTTATAAAATATGTTTAAGTAAAAAAATAACTTTGTAGACAATTATCTTAGTTTCTATATGCGAGTTTGCTAACGCACAATGTAACATATAGGATTAAAAGTGTTGAAAAATAAAATTAAAAATTAAAAAACCAATTATTTTAATAAACTAAGTTGTAACATATTTAATGAGTATAAAAATAATAAAATATTATCATAAAAATATAGTATATTATAATTATAAAAAAATAAGATATTTTGTCATAAAAGGAAAATAACTAATGAATAGAATAAAATATTAATATATTATAACATATTAGATATAATAAGGAGAATTAAAATCTAATTAATAGTAATATCTATAATATTAATTAAAAAAATATTTTATATATATAATTTTTTTCTTCACTTTTTTTTGCTTGTTTTTCTTCATAAGACTCTTTAACTAAGAGATCTTTAACAACATAGATGAGTAATTTAAGTGGTTTGACCTTATTGAACCAACTAATATCACGATCGTTTTGAGCTAACCACATCAATAACTAATTTAGATATAAAAAAAAATCTACAACACAACATGGCTTCTCAAATTTTACCACTTAAATTAGAAAAGTTCAGTATAACTATCATGGCATAAAACAACTTAAATGTGAACCTACACGGCCTTAGGATGCATGACTAAGTCTCCTATGAAATTAGTTCGCTGATTAACCTTTTGAATATTACACCCTTTCTAGTACTTAGTTAGGGATTTTGGCCTCAACCTTGTATCTTACACTATTTGGTCACTTTGTACACGTATGACTTGACCTAGCTCTTATACAGATCATTTTGACACTTTATAATTAGTATAACTCGATCTAACCCTTATATTGTGGTCACTAATAAAAAGTATGACTCAACCTGCCTCCATACCGCATCAACTAATGTTCTAGGGGAGATTAAACATTTCACTTCAAGAGTTAACTTTTCAAGAAAGGTTTTCAACAACTAGCCTCGTAGAGCAACACAATACAATATCTTTACAATAAAATATTCGACTTTTAAAATAACCTCTCCGCTAGTCCTAAGTCAATTAACATAACACAACTTAATGCCCTAAGCATTCTTAACATAACCACCTCAACATTTCAACATACAACTATCAACAATTTAATCATCAATATACATTATTTTGGGTCAATGTATAAAGAACTAACATCTTACATCAACATCCAATATGATATAGGTTTAACAATCTATACATGTTCAACACTTGGTCAATAACCCAACAATACATATTCATTAGGCAACCCACATCTGGTGCCATTCTCCCTATGTCTAGTGTCATTGAGGTATAGAGCCTATAGTGTAACACCATGGAAATATTAGGCTATTTGGTATATATACTCATATATGTGTGTGTGTGTGTGTGTGTTGTCTATATAGATTTGGATTGGATTTTGGATGTGTGGATTTGAGATGTACTTTGTAACGACCCGTCGTGGCCGTCACACTACGAAACAACACTACACACTACTGGAATATATATACTAAAATAGTATAATAAAATATTTACAACACAAGTTGCTAATCAAGCAACCAATAACAATCAATTATATACAACAAAGTATGCTACTATAAGGTAGCCTAAAAAAATATATCCATCTCCAGGCACCTCCTGTG